AATTCACTGCATGCTGCACCACTTTCATTATTAAGTTGGCATAAACTATCTGCCTTATAAAGAAAGCTAACCTTAATTAATTTTCATTATTATTTTTACTCAATTCCACTTTTTCCATTTAATTTGATTTATTTGAAAATTTGATCTCTTAATACTTTTAATGTCAATTATATCTCTTTATATATAAAATTAAGCAAACGGAGTTTTCTCGTCATTTTTTGTAATTATTTAAAGCATTTAATTTCTCATTTTTACTTAATAGCACTACAAATTTTTCATATACAATTTCATATCATATATAATTTTTTACTAAATTTTCAATTTCTAAACCTTTAAAGTTATTTTATTACAAATTCTTAAATATTTAAATAGAAATTAATTATTTATGGGCTCTAGATGAAAAATTGACAAAAGAATCAAATTTTCATAATCTTAAAAATAGACATTTTTTATTGACTCAAAAAAATTAAAAGACTAAATTTTATATAATTCAAACTAGAAAAATGAAAGCATAATTTTTTAAAAAGAAAAAATAGAGGGACCCTTAAGACAGTATAAAACAGGAAAGAGAACACAAGACTATTGGGAGGAAAAAAAAATAAAAATGACGCTATGCTGTTTTAACTTTGGCAATTATAAGGTGTTTAACTTTCAAATGTTTGTCAAATATGTCGCCTATTTAATTTACTAAAAAAACAATAAAAGGAGATAGATTTATTTTTAAAATTGGCGCAATATCGGCAGTTATGATTAGAGGAAATTATGAAGTTGTCTTCACTCCGTGATATAACATATTTTGAGTTAGGTTCAGAAAACAATTCACTAGATAATTGTCAAATAGTAAAAGTTTAAGTGTATTTAAAAAGTATGATGTTATTTGTTAACTAAATTATTTACAATTTAACCTTAATAAAAAATAAGTGAAAAGAAAAATGCTAACACTTTGACATGAGTAAAAACCAAGGTGAACTGAGGGTGCCATTTTACCTGAAAAAAGGTCGAATACATTTGTTGATTTTTCAAAATTTTCCTTAGATTCTTGGAAATACCATTAGATCCTTAGTCCCTAAAAAATTGAAATCATTGTACGATGACTCCAGCAGAAAATTCATACAAATGCTTTGCACTAATAGTAATTAAGCAAGACCATCGTAACAGTAGACAACACGTTTATATCTCACTATTAAATTGGCATGAACCAAGCAATTCACTAGGAAAAAAATAAGAATGAGCAATTATACATATTTGTGTTTTGCGCAATTGCGCTTGATTAATGATTATCTAAATACCCATTTAACTCCCCACTTGTATAAATAGTTGCATGTAATTAATTGCATCGCGCCTATAATTAACAATTATTTTATTCTTCATTGTAAAAATTGAAAAAAAAAAGTTGAATTGTTACATGGTTCTAAAATGTCATATCGTCGTTTTTTTTATATATATAAAAATAGTACTAATACATTAATATGCTTATATTATTTTCATTGAGTAGTCAAATTAAGGTACTTTTTTAGCTGGTTGCTTAAATATGTTTGTTTCTTGATTACGTGTATAAAATGTAATTTATTAAAAAGATAAAGCTCGTTTATATAGTCTTATCTTTCGAATGAATAAATTTGTACTAGTTGGATTAAAGAATACCTTGGATTTGCATGAAAAAACCAACGGTACTTTTAGGCTTATTTTATGTTGATTGAGATTAATTTTTAAGAATGCGACTCTTAATTCATTCAAGTACTTCCCGCAATAAATCTCCATATTGAACCCAGAAACGAAGTTAGACATTTTCTTCTTTAAAGTCTTACCACTTCTTAGCATGTGTTTTGAGGGATATACATTTTGGAGTGAACTAATATTCTTTAGTTGGATGCGAATGATTATTATTATTATTATTGGTGTTAAGACAAAGTATTAATAAAGAAGTCTCACGTTAAATAAAGATAAAAAAATTTAAGTAACAATAATTCCTAATTTAATAATTTTAAAACTTTTAAATTAAGTGCAATGTCTAAGTTTACTCAAAGTTATTTGTGACTCATTGATAAAAATTTCCTTTCTAAGTTCGATTAAGTATCCCTTATCAATTATTTATTAAAATTGCTTTTTTTAAGCACTCAATTAATAATTTTTATATATTTCCACTTTTGTTTTTAGTTTTTTTATGTCTCTCATTTTTTATCAATCATTTATTATTATATATATGTTATTTTATTTTTATCTCTAGCTCTTTCTCTTTCACTTATTGTCGATTGTTTCCTTCATTAATTAGCAGCAACATTTTCCTAAATTTAGAAGTTATACAGTATTAAATGTTTAATTCACTCCTTCTCTCTTTTCGTTCATTCATTTTTTTTTTTAAGTTGTGATATGCCACACCTATGGTGGCACCTACCAACCTTGCAAAGCATCGAATTGGCCTACAAAAATTATAGAATAGTCGGGTGGTACGGATTTGGACCACAACAGTTACTGCTAATTAATTTGCCACTTGTACTCAGTGCACATGTAGTGTTGGCGTCACTCTTTACAAATCAATCCTTGCAAGTTACACTTTTGCATTGTTTCTAGTTTTTCTTTTATGCTGTGAATCCCTGCTAGTTTCATGCATATGAGCTTTAATTCCACAACATTATTTCTAAGTACCACTCCAAAAGGACTAGAAAAAGAGACATGGAGAGTTTCAACTCTCATCTTATAGAAAAGATATATAAATAGAATTTAACTAGAATATGTCAATATAATTTTTTTAAATTGTCATTTAATTATGTATTATTATATTAATAAGTATCATTGTTAATTTTTTTTATATTGATGATACATCAAAATCATATAAATATTATTTAGTACTATATATTTGAACAGAAAAAAAAATAACACCAAACCAAAGGTAAAAGCCGAACCCGTCCTTAATTAATTTCTTCTTTCATATATATTTTTTTGAAAAAAAAGGAACAAAGTGAACAATGAAAATGGGATCATGTTCAAAACGCCGCTTCTCTACTAATATTGCACATTGCACTAAAGTAATAGCGCAACTCAATAATGGTTATCCACAACCACAGCTAAAGTGAGATTGCTTAAGGCAGTGTTGGAACAAATAATAAATAATTTAATTAAATATTTATTTGTTAAATTTATATCATACAAAGATTTATAGCATAATTTTTATTGAAAAAATAAAATTTGTATTATAAATTTCTTTAGAGACTCGCAGGCATGCAAATAATAATAATATATAATAATAATTTTAATGTCCATTGAGTTGAGGAAGAGAATATGGTGGAAATTGGTGGCAGAGAGGAGTGAAAGGAAATGGTGAAGGAGGTGATGTGAAGATTCTCTCGTGCACACAAAATCTGAAGTTTAGCTGTCAGGTGTGTACTTATGCAAGGCAAAAGGAGAGGAAGTTCGTGGAAACGTAATTAAGACCCCCAACTGGCTTGGTCAGGGTGGTACCGACCGGTTCATGCAGGCCGGGTCAGACCCACTGTTCCCCTTCATCTTAATTTCCTCCACTCAGCTTTTCTCATATAATGCAATTAGTAGTAAAGCATGGTTGTCAGATACGTATATATTTTTTATTTATTTATTTGTTTCAAAAGATCAATTGGTGTAAGGTGGTCAAACGAGAGTCCAAAATTAGGCAAATCTTCTTCTATGAACTAAGCAAAACATCACAACAAGTACTTGCCACCACAACTTATATCTAAAGTTAACAGTGGTTTCTTTAAGACGTGCACTTTTTTTACTATCAATTAAAAATCTATGAGAATTGTTAAATTATCTAGTTATTGTTTATAATATTGTAAAATTTAAATAATAATAAAGAATATATTAAAGATACGTGTTTAGAATTGTATTGCTATTATTTTTCATCACTAACATCACTTCTCTCTTCCTAACTAACGTAAAATGTCGTCACTCACACCTTAAATTTCCAACAAAATTAAAGATTTACCGTAAATCCCATCTAGGCTTACCCTTTAAAAGTTTGAAAGGTGGTCGCATTTTAAAAGGGTTAGGAGGGGGCATTGTGTCTGGTAAAAGCGAAGAGGTTCATTCCAGCAACCAATCCGCATATTATGCTAACTTTGGGGAGTGGGAACCTGAGTGGGAACACTACATTTGAATCCATTTCATCATAGCTGCATATATATATACATGGTACGGCTTTGTGAAATTTTTAAAGTGAGTACAAGAAAAAGAAGGTAGCAGAAAACTATAGTATATTTTAGAGACTAGTCATCGTATACAAAAATAACAGCATATTTATGTTATACTCTGTAATAACTTATAATAATTGAATAGGAAAAAGAGGCAGTAGAGGAGTGCAGGGTGGGGGAGTGTGGTGGGGTAAAGGCTTTCATGGGGATGAGAGCGCATGGGGCATCCACCACTCCACTCGTGCGCGCTATCTATCAATGGCGGCTCGGCCATTGCTCAACTATCATCATTATTGGCATGGTGTCAAAGCCAAACCAGGTTAATTACACGGTATAATATACAGTTTTATTATTCACGTTAATAAATAAAAAAAAATGGTACTTTTTTTTATTTATAAACTGCATATTAATATATTAAATTTTATAATATTGTTACTTTCAATCAAAACTTATTATACATAAATAAAATTTTATCGTATATCATTAAATTCATGAGTTAGAAAAACCGTATAATGTTTTATCATTCTTTAATTTCTGGCTCGCTCAAACACACACCTGACAACAACCTGATGATCACTCTCTATAGCTTGATTTATTTTTTTTACAATTTTATAAGTTAAATTATAATCAAAGTGCGGTGGGGATTGTCTTGTCAGCGAAGGAGGGTGGAATAGCAAAGAATGTGGGAGACAACCAAAAACATTTGAAGGCTACCAACAGTTGACATAACGCCTTTTTAGGGTGATTGTGGGGTCACACCTATTCAATTGCTTCAATACTCTACTACTCTTCCCCACTCCCTCGAACTCTATATTTATATCCTCACTCTTGCACCTCCTCTTCACCACTTTAATACTAACCAAGACTAGCATCTAGCTAGACCTCAATTATTCGGTTAGGTAATACTAGTTCTTGTTGTTCAATGGCTGATTCAGGCTCAGCCTCTTCTGAGAGAATGTGGTGCTCCATCCCTGAAAGAATTCAGCTGCATGCGGCCATGTTGGCCCTGCAGTTTGGCTATGCTGGCTTCCATGTGGTCTCAAGAGCTGCCCTTAACATGGGCATTAGCAAACTTGTTTTCCCAGTCTACCGCAACATTATTGCTTTTCTTCTTCTCGTTCCTTTTGCCTACTTCTTGGAAAAGTTAGTGCTCCTCTAACAAATCAACTCCTTAATATTAATTATTCCCATTTCCTTATATACAAATACACACATAAGTGCACAAAATACTGCAATTAAATCTTTTCAGTTACAGTCTTTAATCAATGTTCTGTCTCTCTCAGCAATGTCTATTATTTTTTTTTTCTTTTGTCCAGGAAGGAGAGACCTGCCCTTACCTTAAAACTCCTCTTAAACTTCTTTCTTCTGGCGCTTGTCGGGTACGTAAAATTGTTACACCATGTACATTTAATTAACTAATTAAAAAAAAAAACTCAAGGGAAACATTATATCATTGTTTTCCTTTTAAAAAAAGGTTGAAGGATTAAATTTACTTAATATTTTGCATCAATCACACAGGATTACAGCCAACCAAGGTTTCTACTTGCTTGGCTTGGACAACACATCCCCAACCTTTGCATCAGCCATTCAGAACTCAGTCCCAGCCATTACATTTCTCATGGCAGCCATACTGAGGCAAGCCCTTAAAATCTTGATTAATTAATTAATTGTTGTTAATTAAGTTATTGCACCAGCACCCAGCAGGCACACGAATACACAACATTAATCTGGATATGCTTATATACACAATATTTATTTATATACAATTACAATTACAATTAATTTCAGGATAGAGCAAGTGCGGCTGAGGAGAAAGGATGGGATAGCAAAGGTGGCAGGAACGGTATTCTGTGTGGCTGGGGCAACGGTGATTACACTTTACAAGGGTCCAACAATATATAGTCCAACTCCACCTCTAAACAGCAATGAAGAAGTAGTATTTGACTTTAGCACACTCTCGCTGGGCGATGCAAAGGGCAAGAACTGGACCCTTGGTTGCCTCTACCTGATAGGGCATTGCTTGTCTTGGTCTGGTTGGCTTGTGTTGCAAGCACCTGTCCTCAAGAAGTACCCTGCTCGCCTCTCTGTCACTTCCTATACATGCTTCTTTGGACTCCTCCAATTCCTTGTCATTGCTTTGATCGTTGAAAGAGATTCTCAAGCTTGGATTTTCCAATCTGGTAGTGAAGTTTTCACTATTTTCTATGCGGTCAGTAACTTCTACCTAACTACTCATATAATAGTACTGTCATATTTCACTCAACCTTGTAATCCATATTGATTGGTTTGTCCTTTTTTATTTTCCACTTACTTGTCTTTGAGACAGGGTTTGATGTAATTCTTTTAAAGTTTTTATTTTCTTTAAAAGTAAAGATTCATTGATTTTTAGACTTTTTGTTCATAAAAATATTTTTTAATAATTTTATAAAATTATATTTAGTTGGACATTCACTTTTAAAGAGGAAAAAAAAAAAAAGGAGTACCTGAAAAATCTCTGCAATTTTGAGTATATAATACTCTATATATTATTACGATAATTTTAGAGTAAAATCTAAAGCGCGTAAGAATTATTAATATGCAAAAATCTCCTCATGAAAGCCATAACTTGACGTTTCCAGCTTAATTCTATATAGTTGAGTTAATGAGTTTGAGTTGTGATATGATGAATTATTCTAGAGTACTATTTATGCAATAATTTCTGGAGAGATAATATAATGGTGGGTGCGTGTGTGTATTAGTGTTTATGTATATATTTTAATGTATTAATTTTAATATACATTGCAGGGAGTGGTGGCATCCGGAATTGCCTTCGCTGTACAGATATGGTGCATCGATAGAGGTGGTCCTGTGTTCGTTGCCGTGTATCAACCTGTTCAAACTCTTGTTGTCGCTATTATGGCTTCCATTGCTTTAGGCGAAGAGTTCTACTTAGGCGGGTGTGTCCAAGCTTGCTTTTCCTCTTCATTTTCTTGATTTTTGTTGTTTAAAATAATTCCTTCGTTCATATTTGCCATCTGCCTTTTCCTTTAACTTTTAAAGCACATAGGTTAAGAAAAATGTTCAATCACATTTAGAAAGGAATACCTATCGTAAGAAAAAGATAGAGATGCAGAGAATGTAATAAAAGTAACAAGTAGTATGATGAAAAAAAAATAGAGATAGTTTAAGAATAAACAAAGTATATAAATTATAATTAAGTATTTAATTTAATATTCTTTTATCAATATTAAATTTTATTAATCTAATATTCATTTAAAGTATACTACACTTTTAAAATATAAATGCATATTAATTATATATTTATATGTATATATATATATATATATATATTTAAGAATCTCTAATTCATTTAAAATTTAAAATTATAAAAGATTCTTAAGCATAATAATTTTGATGAAAATATCTCTTGAAAAAAATATAATCTTCATCTGTGTATATTTGTGCGCATGAGCATCTAAGAAGAAGAGAGATATGAAAAAACGTGATAATTAAGTAATATGATGAAAAATATAAAAAAAAATTAAGGCATGAAAAAATGATGGTGTATAATTTTTCTGTGCTTGACAACTTTGACCGTCCACGTATATGTAGAAGTAATAATATTGAGTCCGAAATGACGACCAAAAGCATCCAATAGATGAGGGGTACTTTTGGTTCACGACTTGCAAAACGACAAATGAAACCCATTAAACAACAAGTAAGCTAGAGCTAAGGCATGGTTTGACCCTTCAGTGACAACTGACTCAACTGAGAAAAGGCTAAGAAATACGAATGAACAACTTTTAAAGATTCCCCGTTCCAGAGGGTTATTTAAAGTGCTTTAAAATTTATCATAGGATGTTGAATGGAAGGTGCGGTGTCTTGTGTTTCTTTATCTTGTTTGCCTTTTGCTTTTTTTCAATGTACATTCTTTATTACTAAAAGAGAAAAGTTACTTCTAATTTGATTGATAATTTTTTGGGTGTGGATGCGATTATGATAATTTGTGATGTTATAGGATCATTGGGGCAGTGTTGATCGTTGTGGGACTTTACCTAGTCTTGTGGGGTAAAAGTGAAGAGAAGAAGTTTGCAAAGGAACAAGTTGCAATTACATCCACTCCGGAGCATAGCAACATAAGGACCGCAAGCCATGCCAAAACATCACTTAATCAACCTCTTCTCCCTTCATCAACGGAAAATGTGTGATCAAGAAAACTCCAACTTCAAGCTGGTGAAGCATTTTCTCGGAGAGAGAGGAGAAAAAAAGAAGACAATGATACCAGTTATACATTACTACTACTTTATGTCAGGAAGTTTGTGTGTGTATGAAGGGGTTTTCATCTTCTTCTTTTTGGGTTAATTCAAATGCTTTCTTACTAGGACTCTTTAGAATGAGGTTTTTAATTTATGGGAATGATTACAATGATGGATGTCACGTAAAAGTGAGCTTAGACACTGCAATCCCATATGCTTTATATGTTAATTAATGGTTTGATTTACGGAAGGAGGTCGATTAATAATTTAATTAAGCTATATGGTCACTGTCTCAAAGGTAATGCTAGAGATCATCATGACATAGACGGAAAGGTCACAGAGACCCACACAATTTCTCAGACGTGAACACTCCACTTGTTTCAAAAGCTAGCTAAGCATGAAGATTTTGATAAGCCATAATTGTTCACCCTCAAACGGAATAATCATTTCGGTTGGAATTAATCAATATCTCTAATTTCTCATCATTGCCTAACTTTAACAACTATTCGTAAGTGAGGTGAATGCTGGCATAATCCGAAGCACAGATAACTAAAAGCTCTACTGGGCGTTAGAAAGGATCTTCAACATATATATAAGGCAGATTTGAAGCATAAGTGTGCAGTGTGCATTAGCAATGGCCGACAGTGCGTGATTGTTCTTTTTGCAAGCTAATTCGCATATAGACAAGTAAGTTTAAGAAAAAATTATGAAGATTTTATAAAAATAGTCTATACTTTTTATAATTTATTTTAATGAATTTTTTAACATGACTTATTAAATTATATTTTTAAGAAACTTGATGATTAATTTGAATATAATAGAAAATTATTGAGTAAGTATTTAGATAACTAGTTATCCAAATACGTCTTAGATCTAATAATCATATCAATCGCGTCATCTTGACGCACGTTGGCATAACAGCTCTACATCGTCTCCATTATGTCGATAGCATGCATATAAGAAGACATAGATAGAAACCTGACAAGCAGCTAAGGGCAAAGAAATAAAATGCATAATGGTTTAGAAGATGCATCGATGAGGCTACAAGCCAACAACATGTCATCGTTTATTCTTGTGAAGACATGGACAAATTGACAAAGTTCTAGGTATAATATCAAGTACAGGATGATATATATTAATTTAACTAGAATATCCCCAGACATCACGAGAGGGTATGATGAATCATTAGGAATGTCCATGATCATATGTTGAGCTAATCCCCTTTCTAGAAAGTTTGCTTTATTGACTTTATCAATTATCCGTCTATGCTTTTCCTTTTTTGATGAAGCAAACAGCATCCCTTTACCTTATCGATTCAATCAAATATATTTTCGTACCAATATATATTTTTTAACCAAACACTATTAATTTGATACTTTGTTTACTAACTTGCAAGAACAAAATAGTAATTACCAAAGCACCAAAGAAAAATTGAAACATCCTATTTATTTAACGCTCAAATTATTGTTTGAATCACTAATCTTTATAGCAGAGGATATTCACAATAAACATTACAATTGTTCTATTGTGCCTCAAGTATAATTAATGACTCTTCTCACTCTTGTTTGAATAACTGAAAATTAATATTATATATGATTCTTTTTAATTTTATTTATTTTTAATATATACACATATCTTTCAAATATACTTAAAAAGTAAAAAAAAAAAAAAAAAACTTAAAATCGTCCCTTAAAATCATATAAGAAACAATTTTCATAAATCAGTCCATCTATATTTTCTTGATTGATTTGTTGTCTACGTACGAAGAATATTCCTTACGCACCCAAATTTTATACTTATGATTTTAAAACGAGAAAAAAAAAATCCATGTAGATTTTCTTGATTGATTTGTTGACTCACTGGAAGAATATCCTTACCCACCAAAATTTTGTACCTATAAGTTTATAACGATAAATTAAATAACATCTGACTTCTAAAAGATCCGCTTACTTGATAACAGTTACTACACAGTGTCAAACTGTTTAAATTATACTATTTTTTCCCATCTATTTAATTAAATTACGAACATAGTTTTTTTTTTATCTTATCAACCCATTTAGTAATACTGAAATAACATTAAACTTATTTAAAAGCAAAAATATCTTAAAATATAATAATTTCTATAGTTTTTTTTTCTGAAAACACTATAACTGTTTCTCGTAAATCAAAATAATGAGTATTTGAGAAATGAACCCCAAAAATTGAGGGGGAATAGCTATTTTGCTTGAGAAAATAATGAGAATTTTTCATTACAAACACGATTAGTTATATAAACATTTTTTAAGAATAAGTTTTATTTTTCAATAATATCAAATAGATTAACAAATTACAAGAATATCAGATAGAGATTTAATTAAATGGAAGGACAGATTGAGGAACCAAATGCAGTGAAAATTTAAATAAATTATATATTTTTATATTTTTTATATTTGTATTTTATTTTATTTATAAAATACAAGTAATTATTGGAAATAATTATGTTTGAGTAAGAATGCTATAAAATATTTGCATTTGTTTGCAATTATGGTGATGAATATAATAATTTTTGAAAGAAAATAAATTAAATCTTAACATACAAATAACTACCAAAGAAGTCGATAAAATAAGAAAATAGATCGTAGACAATTAGAAAAAAAGAGAGAGATGAAAATTAACTTTAAAATAGGTGTGAAGAAAAATTCCGATGTCCTTTTGGATCTGTAGACGGGCCAATGAATAACCTTATTTGGGCTAATCTTTGCCTTACTCTCTCTTTGTTTTTCAACCGGTGCCTTTGAGTATGTTAAAGAATGTGTGCAAAATGGACCAGCCCAAGACATAACATGCTTAAGAAGAAAACTAAAACGTTATATGCTTGGACAGGAAAAAAAATAAAAATCGGCGTGCTACATAAGCTTTTAGACGATAATTCTCCTTTTTTCAATTTTTCTATAGTTGAATGACCAAAAGAAATAACATTAATGAATCCCTGTTGAAACAAACGCATTTTTTCTCACCAGAGGAAAAATTCATTTGCAGAAAGATTACTTTTGATTTTTTTTAATCACAGGCAAAAAGGGTAGCTAAATCTTTGAAATACTCGAAATATTAATGTTGTAAATGCAGATCTTCTACTTTTGCTAGAGATCCCTACACTAAGGCTAAATTGGATTAACCTCTAATTTATTGAAACTTTTGAATTGTGAAACTCTACCCTTAAAACTTTCATAAAATAAGAATTCCGACCTTTCTTAAGTTTATAGATAGCCAGAAAAAAAAATTAAATGAAAAGTGACGAATACGGGAGACTCAAATTCGTAGAGAAATGGATAACCATGATCAAAACCTAACTTTTTCTAAGCCTGGCAAAATAAACGGTGTTAATGTAATTTGAAGATAAATTAAATTATTATGTTTTATAATTCGTAAAGAATTATGAGATTGTAAATATACAGCAACTTGAGCATTCTAGATTGTTTTTGTTTTGCATAAAAGAAAAAAAAAATGTTAAAAAATAAATATTCCTACGTTAATAGAATAAAAATAACTCTTTTTTTTTTAATTATCTAACGACAGTTGATCAGATAATGGCACTTGTAGATAATCTCCTTCATGGATGCCTGCATTTGGCTCTGTGAATTCAATCATGGACCGAGTAGTTACGCGATATTAAATGAATTTTATTTTTAACTATGATTATAATGATACATGCATAAATCTGTTATTAACTTATTAATATTATTGTGAGAATAAAAAATGATACATGCATAACAAGCATTATATAAACTATCGCACAAAATGAATTATGCTACTAACTCCAGCCCCATTAATAAGGCGAAATTTATAAATATATAAACATCACTGTTGTTTTCATAAACTATGGCACAATTTTCCATCAGCAACTCAGCATCCCCTATGTAAATAATAAAAGGAATTTTAAATGACTTTGATGTTTGGGACTTTGATGAGTTGTTGTCATCTTTGACTCACGGTTCGTTGCAGTAAGGTGTTAGCTAACTAATGGGTCCTTTGTCCTCTCTTCATCCGTCGCCGCGTGTTTCTCTTTATGCGTGGTGGATACGGTGCGTGGCACAAGCATATACGAACCACCCATATGAACATTCTAATAAATCTTCTCTGTGTGATTATAACTATGCAATTGTATCATACTGTAGTGTAGTGGCCTATTCTATTGCTGACTGGGATTCAACTCTGAAGAAAATAAATGGGACTGAATTGGCATAGAGGAGTTGTTAGTGTTTTTCTACTTCTCTTCTACGTTGGAGATATACGTTTCAGTATGTGCAGAAAGACCAGTACTTTTATAAGAAATGATTATTTGTCTTTGGATATGCCAATAGACAGTGATGTGTTTCGTGTGCCACCTGGTTACGATTCTCCCCAGCAGGTAAAGTCATGTTTTTTTAAATACACTTGAAACTACTTTTCTAAGAGTTTGTTAGACTTGTTATATATGCTGATTTCTATTGAAGATGTGGATTTGGAAAGGTTCATATAACACAAGGAGATCATATTGGTAAAGGTGTGATCATCTCATGGGTTACCCCAGATGAACCGGGTTCAAGCACCGTGATTTACTGGGAAGAAAACAACGATTTCAAATGGCAAGTTGATGGGTTTTTTATTTCCTACAACTACTTCAATTACACTTCTGGTTACGTTCATCACTGCACTATTCAGGATTTGGAGGTGCGTGATGCACTAGTACTCAAGTGTCACTTTTTTAACTTAACAGCTGTTGTTGGGTAACATCCACCTGTTCTCATTGTAAATACAGTTTGACACCAAATATTACTATTTGGTCGGAATAGGGAATACCACTCGACAGTTCTGGTTCAAAACTCCTCCTCCTGTTGGCCCTAATGTTCCTTATACATTTGGTCTCATTGGTAATTAACACTTTTTCATTCAATGATTTTTATGATTTGCTTGTTTGGTTAATTAACTTAACATGCTGTTTGTGGCGTTGAAATTTGTTCATTTGATTTGGCATGTGTGAC